CGGGTGGCATCGTTGTGACACTACAGGAGGCCCAGGATGGACATGTTGTCCAGGGAGTGGGAGGGGGAGTTGAAGTGGTTCGCGACTGGGAGGTGCAGTTGTTTGTCACGAACCGAGCGTAGGTGTTCTGTAAAACGGTCTCCAAGCCTCTGCTTGGTCTCACCAATGTAGAGGAGGCCACAACGGGAACAGCGGATGCAGTATACCACATTAGCAGATGTGCAGGTGAACATCTGTTTAATGTGGAAGGTTTTCTTGGGGCCTGGGATGGGAGTGAGGGGGGTGGTGTAGGGGCAGGTGTAGCACTTCCTGCGGTTGCAGGGAAAAGTGCCGGGGGTGGTGGGGCTGGTGGGGAATGTGGAGCGGACAAGGGAGTCACGGAAAGAGCGGTCCCTCCAGAAGGCAGATAAGGGTGGGGAGGGAAAAATTTCCTTGATCGTGGGGTCAGATTGCAGACGGCAGAAGTGCCGGACGATGATGCTTTGAATCCGGAGGTTGGTGGGGTGGTACGTGAGGACGAGGGAGATTCTGTTTTTGTTGTTATTGCGGGGAGGGGGTGTGAGGGAGAGTTGCGGGAAATGCGAGAAATGCGGTCGAGGATGTTTTTGACCGCTGTGGAGGGGAAGTTGTGGTCCTTGAAAAACAAGGACATCTGGGATGTTCGAGAGTGGAACGCCTCATCTCAGGAGCAGATGTGGTGGAGGCGAAGGAATTGGGAGTAGGGGATGGCATTCTTGCATTCTTTGTTTTGGCAACATGTACATAACACCTTAATAACATTTTAAACAACCTATTTTTCATCTCCCTTTTTGGAGTGGACATTGTCCCCTTTTTAAGACAGTGTTAGTTGGACAGATCTCAGTCAATGGCAGAGCAAACTCAATGGGCTGAATGGTCTGCTTCCGCTGCTAAGTTTTATCATCCTAAAGTCTTTTAAAATGAAAATTGAAGGCAAGACATGAGGTCTGTACTGTGTATGCAATACTGCCCACCCAATTTTCCTCTCTTACTTGTAATACCTTACACTTAAAGGTTTGGAAGATACCATCTAAGGAGCCTTGGTCAGATTCTGTAGTGCATCTTGTAGATCGTACACACTGCAGTATTTTTTTATTTCAAAAGTGTACTTTATTCATAAAAATATACCTTACATTAAAGATATATTCTGTCATGCTTAGCATTTGCTGCCAGTGCTCTCACACTCACCACTGCTTTGAACACATAGAAAAGTATCAGGCATGTGAGGCTTTCTAATTATTCTCCCAAGCCTGATATGGAATGAAATGTCCTTTGAAACAAATTTCTGATTTAACATGCAGTAATAATATTTAAGAAGTGTGACACCATCCAGGACAAAGCAACCCACTAGACTGGCACCACATCCACCACATTCAACAATCGCTCCTTTCACCATCAACTCTCTGTAAGTGTAGTGTTTAGGGCACTACCTGTGAGATCGTTCATGTACGCCCATCAGTCTGCACTACAACACACTGCCCTCAAAGTGGCTGCAGGGGCGTAGAGACTGTTACACAAACCTCCTGCTGGAATGTGCCTTTGTAAAGAAAGCCTGGGGAGAGATGCAGTGGTTTTTGTCAAGCGTTCATCTCGAGCAGCTCTGTGATGCGGGACTCTGTGCTCTATGGCCTGTTCCCTGGGACGCACATTGAGACAAACACTGACAGCACCTGGAGGACAATCAACTCAGTGGAAGACACTCTTTGGTCTGCCTTCCTAAACAAGGAGTTGCCCCTGACTGAGTGTTGCAGACTGGCACATTCCAAGGCCCAGCACTAAAGCTTGGGGCAGCTGCAAAAGGTGCAGTGGGGAAAGACCACCGTCTAACATCTTTCTGTCAAAGTTAAATAGGGGTCTGTTCAGTTATCGGACCCTCCCCGTGCCTCGAATGTATGTAAATATAGTCTTGTACACGTAAGAAATGCCTTTGGTTTGTTTTCTGGATAGAGTCAAACTCCAATGTTTGTTTCTTCATATACTACTGTGCAGAACCGAACTGCTTTAGTGACTATGCATGTATACAAAGATATTTTTATGAATAAAGTATACTTTCAAAATAAAAAGAAACACTGCAGTGTGTACGATCTATAAGATGCACTACCGAATCTGACCAAGGCTCCTTAGATGGTATCTTCTAAACCAATTATCACTTCCATCTAGAAGGACAAGGGTAGCAGATACATGGGAACACCACCCCCTGCAAGTTCCCCTCCAAGCCACTCACCATCCTGACTGGGAAATATAATGCCTTTCCTTCACTGTCACTGGTCAGCATTTCAGCATTCCCTGATTGCATTATGGGTTTATCTACCAGCACATTGTCTACAGTGGTTCAAGCAAGCAGCTCACCACCACCTTCCCAAGGGCAACTATAGATAGGCAGTAAATGCTGGGCCAGCCAGCGATATCCAACTCTCTTAGATAAATGTGTACTTTTACTAATCTGAATGATTATCAGGATAAACATAGCAACAAAAGTCATTCTTTATCCTTCTCTGATGAGAGAGCTCCATAACCAAGTGTAACACAGCTCACTTGAGAAAGGTCCTTACAGTGCACAATTCTAAAGGTTTAAAACAGTTTTAAAAGTTCAAAGTTAGTTTTATACATATATCAAATTAAACCACTAGCAGGCTTCCATAGATTAAAACAATCAAGGAAAATGTATCAATAATAATAATTACCTAGATATGAATTTTGTTTCTGTATGTTCACATTATCAATTGTTCCATAGTTATAACTCATAAAACTGCTTGTAGTTTTACAGTAATTTTGCACCCTGTTCTTATTACTTATTACTTATTACTAATGTCTACAATAAGGCTAGTCTTTCAATACATTTTCTCATATTTTCCAACATATTGAATTGCTATGTGGCTGAGTACAGCCTGTTCCTAAGCTGCTACATCTGCTGTATCTACAGATTTTAGTAACTACTGATTAGTGTAGAAGTAGTTGCGTCAGAATTTAGAAACATGTTTTGACTTTTAAGTCACCACAGGGTTAACACCCAAGCATGCAGAGAACTAACTCCTCATCAAGTTAATCTAACAGTTAATACTTAAACCTATTGTAACAGCAACCAGTAAACATGAGATTTCCTTCACTAAATCTCTTTATCACTAAGCCTAGAAGAAGTCACAATCTTATCTTCCAGTACCATTAAAAAAACAAATGCCAATTTTCTCCCAAAAGTTGCTGTATGATTATTCTAAGATAGAAAATCTGGGTTAAATATGAAGAATTTCTTTTATAATAAAGAATAACATGATAGTAGGGATTGTAACTACATAACTACACTTGTGTGAAACAGAACTGTTCCATCAATTAAAAAACAGTCAGTGCTAGTTGGAAGGGAATGGTCTGCGATAATTCTCTTCTTAATTTAGTGCTTTGAAGGAATTAATTCCTTACAATGTCATTGACAAATCCTTCTGTATCATAAGTTAACCAAAATTAATTTTGGGTTTTCCTATTTTAATATGGGCAATTATTCCAACTCAATCTAGTGTATTTGGAAACGACACAAAGAAAGCGCTGATTTGATGCATTTAGAGCTGGATTTAATTTAATAGGCAGCAATAAAAAAATACTGATTGAGAGTTTAAGAATAGCCAGTGATTTAAAGGCTGAAGATTGTGATTAAACATCGATTTTTTCTGATAGATTAAAAGCAAGATTTAATTTGGAATACGAAGAGAAGTTATAATGAGAATTCTTCAATTAAACTGAAGATCTCCCTCCCAACTTCGGCTTGCCAACCACTTGTTTTCACTGTGCCTTAGGACAAAGCTGGTACAGTTCTGAACACACTTGCTCCATGCTAAATCCAATATTCTTAGTCTAAAATACTATTCTTGCATGCTGCAACCTACAACTATTGCATCCTCTCTTGATACATGGAGAATGTCTTAAAAGTTTTAAATTATTTTTAATTAAAGAGAATTGGAGTTATTTTACAAAATATTCAATACACATCCTTGCGCTGCTTTCCCAATTCCATAGTGTACAAACTCTCTTCACATCCTCTTGCAATCTTTCTTCAAATAAACTGCTGCTCCTAATTCACATCCATTAAACTGATGCTAACCCATGACCAGCATTGAACGTTGACACAATATTCCACACCTTGCGAGACAATTATTGCCAAAAAAAGTACTGCTATTCATTGATTTTTTTTCTCAAAAAAACAGTGCAATAATTGGTGTAATAAATTAAAGCAGCACTGAGAACTACATTTAAAATATTTATTGATGTAGACTCTAATGATAGCAAACTGTCATATAGTGTATGTTGGAAGCATGTGGTAACATAACTAAAGTGCAACATCAACTCAGTGTCATGTTAATGAAGAACTCGCCAGGGAAATTGGTTTTCCAGTTCTCAGGCATAATAGATTTTCTCTGGAACTAAAGACCTAAGACATCCTGTTTGTTCTACAGTTATCAACATCTCCAAACTACATTGATGAGTGGAGCTCATAATTAGGTGTCAAGTTTTAAAATCAGCTCTCCATTTTTAATTTCGGTGGTCATAGACTCATACAGCACAGAAAAGGCTCAGAGTCTGCAGTGACTATCCACACTATAATAATCCCACTTTCCAAAGCTGTCAAAGCACATTGCTTGCATTCTAAAGAGGTGGGCCTTTCAAATGGTTGTAGCTTTAATTGCCACTATAAAAGTCTAAGGAACTATCAGTAGGATTGTAAACTGTAGTTGGAGAAATCCACTTGGCACATTGACTAGATGGTGAAGTAATTAAGTCTATTTTTTAAAAAAAGTTGTGGATTTAGACAACGGCCACATGAAACAATGAAACTACCACCATCCTTCACAGGGACGGTGCCAGACACAAAGGTGTCATATTTACCTCCTCCCCTCTTTGATGCTATTGCCAGGGACTCAATCACCCTTTGGCCAAAAGAGGCTCCAAGGTGGAATGACCGAGTCAAACATGCATCTTGTGGAAGGACACCCACCTCCCTCTAGGGGGCCCCCGCACAGCCCGAAAGCTCGGCACTAAATAAAGAATGAGAAAGGTTCCACCGCTGTTATGACCGGTCGCAGCAGGGTCCCACTGTGCTCTCCAGGGAGAGCTGTGAGGCGTTACGCAGGAGAGGAGCCAGGGGTGGGTCCACCATGGAGCAGGTGGGAAAGAGCTTGTACCATCCAACTGCTGCACTTGAAAGATCCAACTCCTCCAGTAGCACTTGAGCCACTCCCATGAAGTATTTGCGATCCATCCGGCCATAGTTACCCCACACAATCACCTGGTCACACAGAGAGAGAAAGGAGGGAAATCAATCAGACCAAGCAGATTCTCATCATGTCATCCTTGTAAAACAAAACACTGTTTTATATTCAAATGCACATGAGGCTAGAAATTGTTTTGCTCTTCATTCATAGGATGAGGGTGTCGCTGACCAGGCAGCATTCATTGCCCATTCCTAATTGCCCAGAGGGCAGTTAAGAGTCAACCACATTGCTGTGGGTCTGGAGTCACATGTAGGCCGGACCAGGTAAAGATGGCACTTTCCTTCCCTAAAAGATATTAGTGATGACTCCTCATCATGCCCATTCACCAGACAAAGAGGGAAGGCCCCCAAAGCCATTTTGACTTTGGTCATTTTTCAGGCTCTTGGATCTTTCCCCATAATCTGGTAACCTTTTCTCCTTCAAGCATTTGATCCAATTCCTCTCAAAACCCACAATTGAATCTGTATCCACAGAAAATAGAGAAACAGAGCAAGTAGGCTTAAAGAGAATCCCAAAGCATTTACATATATATTACGAGCAAGAGGGTAACTAAGGAAACAGTAGGTCTACTCAAGGCCAAAGAAAGGAATTTATATATGGAGACAGAGGAAGTAATACTTTGCATTAGTATTCATCAAGAAGAAAGACATGGACAATGGTAAATTTAGAGAGGGGTTTGTTGATAGTCCGAGGCATGTCAATATTAAGAAGAAGGTGGTGTTGAGTGTCTTGAAAAACATTAAGGTACAAGAGCCCCCAGGGCCTGATAGGGTATATCCCAGGATACAGAGGGAGGCAAAAGATGGTTGATGACTTGACAGAGATCTTTGTGTCCTCTTTATCCAAAGGCAAGGTCCCAGAAGACTGAACAATAGGACAGGGAATTAAGGCCAGTGAGCCTTACATCAGTAGTAGGAAATTATTGGAGAAGATTCTTTGGGAGAGGATTCACTTGTATTTGAAGAAGAATGGACTTACTATAGATTATTAGTATGGCTTTATCCAGGGGAGGACTTGTCTCACAAATTTGACTGAGTTTTCTGAGGAAGTGATGAAGATGATTGATGAGGACAGTGCAGTGGATGTTGTCTACATGGACTTTAGCAAGGCATTTGATGAGATCCTTCATGGTAGACTGGTCCAAAAGATGAAATCACATGAAATCCATGCTGAGTTCCTAAGCTGGATGCAAAATTGGAATATTGTGTTCAGTTCTGGTCACCTCATTATAGGAAGGATGTGGGAGCTTTAGAGAGGGTGCAGAGAAGATTTACCAGGATGCTGCCTGGACTGGTGGGCAGGTGTTATAAGGAAAGGTTGAGGCAGCTAGAGCTTTTTTCATTGGAGTAAAGAAGGATGAGAGGTGACTTAATAGAGGTTTACAAGATGATGAGAAGCATTGATAGAGTGGATAGTCAGAGACTTTTTCCCAGGGCGGAAATGACTGTTACAAGGGGGCATAATTTTAAGGTGATTGGAGGAAGGTACAGGGGAGATGTCAGAGGTAGGTTCTTTACACAGAGAGTGGTGGGTGTGTGGAATGCGCTGCCAGCAGTGGTAGTGGAGTCAGATACTTTAGGGACATTTAAGCGACACTTGGACAGGCACGTGGATGATAGTAAAATGTAGGGTATGCAGGTTAATTTGATCTTAGAGTAGGGAAATAGGTCGGCACTTAGAGCATAGAACAGTACAGCACAGGAACATGCCCTTTGGCCCACCATGTCTGTGCCAACCACAATGCTATTCTAAACAAAACCCATCTGCCTGCACATGGTCCATTTCCCTGTATTCCCTGCCTGTTCATGTGTCTCTCTAAATGCCTCTTAAACTTTGTTATCATATCTGTTTCTATCATTTTGCCTGGCAGTCCTTTCCAGGCACCTACCACCCTCTGTGTAAAAAACTTACCTCTCATGTGGGGCAGCACAGTTGCTCAGTGGTTAGCACTGCTGCCTCACAGCACCAAGGACCTGGGTTCGATT